CTGTCTGTGGAAATACGGAGCTGGCCCTTCTTACTCATGTTCCCACACACATCCCTTTGCATAAATACTCAGGTTCCAGGCCTTGGAGCCATAGCGACGCATACGCAAGGCTCCGGCTGTTGGTTTTAGTATTTCTATGCGATTGTCATCTCATTCATCATCCAAGAATCCACTTAGTGCATTAGCACGAGCCCTCCTCTTCTGCGGGGAATCGCAGCCTTTAAAACGCTCGGAACAGAGCCCGGGACGCCCACACGCCCCTGCTGCCAGTACCTTTCTGGTTCTTGGGGGGGCAGGGGAGGGCGTCTGGCAGCGTGGGCAGGCAGGGGCTGGGGGCAGAGCCCCTGAGGTGCTGCCCTGTGCCCTGGACCCCACAGTGGTGACCCCCATCTCTCCTTTCAGTTCGTGCCAATCTCATCCCCAGCCCCCCCACCTTCAACTCTGACTACGGCTACATCAGCTGGGAGGCCTACGCCAACGTCAGCTATTACACCCGTGTCCTCCCACCTGTGCCGGACAACTGCCCGACGCCCATGGGGACCAAAGGTAGGCGGCTGGCCCGGGGCGTGGGGCTGAGTTGCTGGAGCAGCACGCCGGGTCTGTACCTGCTGCAGCATCAGCCTTTCCCACCCACCCATGCCCAAGCTTCCGCTGCCATGGATGTGCCTGCAAGGCACTGCTGGCAATGCCGTGTGGCACCGCTGTCCTGCCCGAGCTGACCCCGCGGGTGGGAGGCCATGCCCAAGCTTCAGCTGCCATGGATGTGCCTGCAAGGCACTGCTGGCAATGCCGTGTGGCACCGCTGTCCTGCCCGAGCTGACCCCGCGGGTGGGAGGAGCCTGATGGCATCCAAAACGCTGCTGGGGCGGCTCAGGTTGAGCTGTTGGGGCATGTCGCAGCCTGTGTGAGCAGAGTGTAAGGCATCTGGGCAGACAAGTCAGTGCCTGGTGCTGCAGCAGGCACGGCAGTGCTTGCTGACAGCCCCGCAGCCAGCACCGGTACCCGGCTGGGTCAGCACGGGGCACCCGCCTTCAACCTCCATCCTTCGCAGGGAAGCAGCAGCTCCCCGACCCCCAGCTCCTGGCGGAGAGGTTCCTGCTGCGGCAGAAGTTTGAAGCCGATCCCCAAGGCACCAACCTGATGTTTGCCTTCTTCGCCCAGCATTTCACCCACCAGTTCTTCAAGACGTCCGGGAAGATGGGACGTGGCTTCACCAAGGCGCTGGGGCACGGGGTGAGGGGTGCTGGAGCAGGGGCACAGGGGCGTGCGGGGAGCGAGGAGGGGGACCACGACTGAAGCGTGTCTCTGCCCTGTGCTCCAGGGTGCTTTGAAGCCCACATCCCTCTGGCAGCTGCTAGGCCAGAGACTCCCAGGAGCACCAGGAACCCCCAGCCCTGTAGGAGACCCCAGCCCTGGTGCCCTGTGTGGAGCACTGCCAGGGTCCCCCTTGGTGCCTGCTGGTGCCAGAAGAGGGGAATGAGCTTTGGGGTGGAACTGTTCCGACAGTTGTGACAGGACAAGGGGGGATGGTTTTAAACTGAAGCAGGGTAGGTTTAGACTAGATATAAGGAAGAAATTCTTTACAATGAGGGTGGTGAAACCCTGGCAGGGGTTGCCCAGAGAGGGGGTGGAGGCCCCATCCCTGGGAACATTCAAGACCAGGTTGGATGGGGCTGTGAGCAACCTGATGTGGTTAAAGGTGTCCCTGCTCCTGCAGGGGGGTTGGGCTGGGTGACCTCTGGGGGTGCCTTCCCACCCAAAACATTCTATGATTCTATGATGGCAGCAGGTGTCCTGCAGCTGGGGCTGGGCGAGGGGGATGTTTCCATCCTGTTCAGCACTTGCAGGAGAGCAGCCGTGATGCCCATAGGGTGGCAGAGGTCCCAGCTGGGCAGGCTTTCACCGGCATGGTTTTCTCCCCTGCTCCCTTTCTGCCATCCCATTCTTGTCTCCCTAAGGTGGTGGATGGAGAGATGTACCCCCCCATGGTCACCGATGCTCCGGTCCACATGGTCTACCCGTCTGCTGTTCCCAAGGAGAAGCAGCTGGCGATGGGGCAGGAGGTGTTTGGGCTGCTGCCGGGGCTCTGCATGTACACCACACTCTGGCTGCGCGAGCACAACCGCGTCTGCGACATACTGAAACGGGAGCATCCCACCTGGAGCGACGAGCAGCTCTTCCAGACGGCTCGTCTCATCCTCATCGGTGAGGACTAGTGATGCCGCAGGGCTTGGCCCCCATGGACCCCCCTGTCCCACCTCCCCAGGCAAGCCCCAAGGACTTGGGCGCTGGTCAGTCTCTGCTTGAGGGTGATGGCCAGTCTGGCTTTAGAGGCTGGAAGAGTTTCTCTGGCAGCCTTCTGGGGATCGTTGGCTTTGGGTCATATAGCAAAAATTGGCTTTGGTCCATCAAAAAATTTCATTTGTAATAATTTTGTCATATTTTGAATTATTTCATTTTGATTATATAAATTACAATATATTAAATTACTATAAATTTACTATAATCTCAAGAAATGCCATTTTTGACCAAAATCCAGGAGAGATCCATGCCATCACGTTATCTCGTATCAAGGTCAGCTTACTCAGGAACCATTTTGCTTTTGGTAGACTGACCTTTGCTGGTGAAAAAATAACTCACTGAAAAATTCCCAGCCAACCAGCCCGTAGTCAGAAAGGTCCCAGGCAGTGGATGGGTGCGGGGACATGCTGCCGTAGCGCATGGGTGACATCTCGGGGTACAGAGCTCCTGCGGCTGACGGCTGCTTCTCTCACCTCCTGCTCAGGGGAGACCATTAAGATCGTCATTGAAGACTACGTCCAGCATCTCAGCGGGTACTTCCTCAGCCTCAAGTTTGACCCTGAGCTGCTGTTTGGGACGCAGTTCCAGTACCGGAATCGCATCGCGGTGGAGTTCAACCAGCTCTATCACTGGCATGGGCTGATGCCTGACTCCTTCATCATCCAAGGGGAAGAGTACAGCTATGAGCAGTTCCTCTACAACACTTCCATGCTGATAGACTACGGCGTGGAGGCGCTGGTGGAGTCCTTTTCCAAGCAGATTGCAGGAAGGGTAAGGTCCTGCTTGCCTCTCCCTGCCGGCACCAGGGCAGTGGGACCGCGGGAGGGATCCTCGTGGTGCCATGAAGGCAGACGCTGTTGTGCTGTCAGGTGGTGGAGCCCAGCTCTGGGGCTCGCAGGGTGGCAGAGGGGTTTCGAGCTCCTCTTCCACCATGCAAAGCTCCAGTCCAAGGCATCGCCTGTCCCTGCGGTGCCTGGAGCGCCGCTGTAGCACACCGGAATTGAACCTCCCCATTTGGCAGTGGTTGCTGTCACGTAGAATCTTCTACCCAGGGCAGCACCCGACGTGCATCTCGTGAGTCCTCCCTGCAAGCTCTGTAATGAGCCTGGGCCTTGGCAGCCCCATTTGCTTCTTCTCCGGGCTCTGTAGTAAACATCTCGGTGATGCCAGGAGCCTGTGGTAAGCTGGGATCTCCTGGCCCCGAGGTTTTGGAGCAGCCTGGGCAGGGGAGCAGCTTGTCTGGCACTGTTCTTTGCTGCCATCGCATGGATGTTTTCTTCCAAGCGATTACATCTACGCTTCTGACGGTCTTGTCTTGCGCAAAGCAGCAAGGCTGAGGTGCAGACCTGCTGCTCTTTGAGTGTTTTGGTTTTCCCTGTGATCCCAACCCCCCGTAATCTCTCCCTTCCTCCCAGGCCAGTGGGTCACCGCCCATCTAGGGCCTCTCCTGCACTGCTCCCTGACCCACCCTGAGAACAGGACCGGCTTTAACCCAAGCTGCTCTACAGCTTTTTTTTTGGCAATGTCCAACGATTCCCCCTTTTCTTGCTGCTGCGATGACGTGCTGGTCTCCCCAACACCATGCCCAGGACAGAGATGCTTTAGTGCAGGATGGTGGGGCTGTGCCGGGGCTGGCCTGGAGCAGATGTCGGTGCTGCCCCATGCCTCATGCGTGCTCCTCCTTGTGTTCTCGCCCTCCAGATCGGTGGGGGAAAAACCATCAACGCTAACGTCTTGAAAGTGGCCATTGGGGTCATCAAGGAATCCCGGCAGCTGAGGCTACAGCCATTTAATCGGAAGAGGTTTGGCATGAAGCCCTACAAGACCTTTCAGGAGCTAACAGGTAGGGCTGCAGTGCTGCCGCAGGAGCTCCCGGGGCTTTGCTGGGGCAGTGCAGATGCTCTGTGCTCGCAGCGGGGTACGAGACCACGAGCTGTCCCCCCACCCCCCCACTGAGCTTGCCCGGTGGAGCAGCCGCTCCTGCCCACCCAAACCTTGCCTGGTGGTGACCCTCATACCGGGGTGGACAGGGCTGGTGCCTTGGTTGCAGGGGTCCTTCCTCCTGCGAGGTTGGACAAGCGGTCCAGAAGGCAGTGCCTGGCCTGGGAGCTGGGCTCACCACTGCCTGGGTTGCAGGAGCTGCCACGTTCCTGTTACCCACAGCAAGGCCAGTCCTTGCTGGGGGCAATTCCCTTGCTAAAGCACTCTGATGTTCACTTGATGCAGGAGAGGAAGAGACGGCGGCAGAGCTGGAAGAGCTATATGGAGACATCGATGCTCTGGAGTTTTATCTGGGCTTGCTGCTTGAGAAACCTCAGCCCAATGGTATTTTTGGAGAAAGCATGGTGGAGATAGGAGCTCCGTTTTCCCTGAAGGGGCTTCTTGGAAACCCCATCTGCTCCCCAGAGTACTGGAAACCCAGTACCTTTGGCGGAGCAACTGGCTTTGAGATAGTTAAGACAGCATCACTCGAGAAACTCGTGTGCCTCAATGTGAAGAAGTGCCCATACGTGGCATTCCGTGTGCCAGATGCTGCAGAAAACGGCAGCCCTAAGGCTGGTGGATCATCTACTGAGCTCTAGCACCAGGACAGCCTGCCCAGGTAGAGACCGTCCTTGCCCAGGCGCTGGCTGAGCGAAGCTCCCAGCCTGGGGCTGAATTCCCGTTCCTTCTCGCAGGGAGCGGCAGGGACCTGCCCACCCCAGTGCGGAGCGGGAGCGGGAGCAGGAGCAGGACAGAAGATGGTCCCACCCTGGGCATCCTGCACACCAGCCCTTGAGGAGAGGCTGGTACCACCCAGCACTGTGAAAAGCTCGAGCGCCTCAGGAGTGTGGCTGCCGCTGCTGTCCTCAACAGACCCAGTTCTCTTGCTAGCGAATACCTTGCACTAAGCCAGCTTTGGGGTTCCCCAAGGGATGCCCACTTCTCCAGGACGCTCTGGACTCCCCCACACTTTGTCACCCTCCATCCCTGCAGCTTTCCAGCACCAGGCCACCAGCAGCCCCTCTTCTGCAGGCTTTCCCCGCTCAGGACAGAGGAGCCCGGGGAGCCCTCGCAGCCCTTCCTCCTCTGCTGCACCCGGTTAAGCCGCTGAGCTCCCCCAGGGAGGCGCAGGAGGCAGGTGGCAGCATGCAGAGGGATGGGGGGGACACGCCGTAGGTGTTCACGCTGGCCCAGCGGTGGCTGAGCTTGCAGTAAGAACCTGCCCTGATTCGCTTCTCCTGCAGCCGCTCCGGACTGCCCACCCCAGCCTGCCCAGCACACGGACGTAGCCGAGACACAGCCAAGAAAAAAGAACCAAAGCAAAATCTCTGTGGGAGGAGACCAGGAGAGAAGCATCAGATCAGACCCCCTGCTGGGACCCCAGCACACACCGCCGGCCACCTGAGCGGGGCTGCTCGGAGCAAGATGCTCTGTGCAAACACAGCGATGAAGTCTCTTCCATCCTGGGATCATTACACTTCCCTGCATTAATAGCTCAGCAAATGGCATCCCCAAGGCACACAGAGCCCGCTTCTGTCCTGCTCCAGAAACGCACGCAGATGCCAGCCCTCGCTGACGTAACGACACGGTAGCTGGCAGCCACTGTCACTGTCAGATCCCGGTTCACCTGCAGGAGAAGGGACAGTTACAATAATAAATGATTTTAAAAACTCCTCTCATTTCCTCCAGCCAGTTTTGAAGCTTTGTCTCGCCCGCAGCAGGCCCTGCAGGAGGGCAGGACGCTTGGGAGGCAGCAGGAGCTGGGGGAGAGGAGAAGTCCCTGGAGTGTGGCTGGATGGCTGGGGTCCCCGCTGGGGCACGGCTGGGCCACGCAGCTGGAGCGGGCCGTGGTCACTGGTGGTGTGCTGTGCCACTGCTGGCTGCATCAGAAGAAATAAGCAGAGACCTTCGGAATTCCTTAGGAATTGCCTCAGCAAGGGGATCTCTGGGCCCGAGTCTCCCGTGAAGGTTTGAGCTATGGCTGCCCTCCAGCCACCACCCTCCAGCCCTGTGCTGTGCTGCTCCGATGCTGATAACACAGCGCTTACATCCAATATGTATTTCTGTCACATAAAAGCTATCCACACGTAAATCTTGCTGGCCAGGTAATTTGTAGGCATGAAATAGCCACAGTCTGTAAGAGAGCAGTTGGCTGCGGTTTCCCCCCGTGCTGAGCCGGCAGAGGGGACCGCTCCTGGGCTCCTGCTCCGTCCCTGCAGGACTTCCACCCGGCACGGTGACATGGTATCTCCAGGTAGATATATCCAGGTAGATATATCCAGGTAGGCACAGCCCATCCCTACTCTCTGCTGCCATTCCCTAGGTGGGAATGAGGATGGGTGGGGGTGTTGGCCATTTGTGGGGGGAGCCACAGTCCATGATGTCCCACCTTCTGCCCTGGAAGTTTCAATCATTTCTGGTTGCACCAGCTGGTTTTTTTATCCTTGATCAGCCAGGTATGTCATGAGCCAAATTCCTTAAGCAGGGGTTGTGAGGCAACTGATAAAACTGATTACAGGGAGATGTTACAGGAATTTTAAACCAGGAATTTTTAAAAAGATTTAAGGAGCTGGCGCCTTGGCAGGGACACGTTAGGAGGACGTCATGGCAAAGGAACATCTGCAAGTCAAGACTCCCAAAGGAAGAGCCTTTTCGCTCCACTCTTTAACCCTTCAGAAATGAGATGGGTTTACCAGGCTATCACCTGGATTTTAATCACCTTATGGCAGATGGGGAGGCAGAGGCAGGTCTGGCTCACCAAGGCACAGTGGGCGGGTTTGCCTGCTGCGTGCTCGCCCGGGTCGGCCCTGCCTGTGCCCTCCGCAGCACGTGGAGACCCCAGGCTGATGGTGGGGGCAGCACCACCAGGCACTGAGAGGCTCCTGAGGGGTGCAGAAGTGCCGAGCAGCAAGCTGAGAGCAGGACACAGTCCTTTCCCATCCCACAGTTCCCTCTCCCCAGCTTTCCCTTTCCCTTCCCCTCTGGGTGGGAAGCCAGCACGCAGCGGTGACGCTGTGCCCAGGCAGCAAAATGACCAACAGCTGGTTACGTGGCAGTGGTGGGGGTCTGTCCCCCAGGGGCTGCCCCCCCACCAGCTGTACCCTGTGCTGTGACCCCCCCCAAGGACCACGACCCTCATTGTGCTTCCCTTGCTCAGCCAGCAGCGTAACGCTCATGAAAAAGGCAAACGGCAGCAAACAGGGAGCAATACAGCATCCAAAGACCGTCAGTATGTCTCAAACCCACACTGGGATCCACGCGCCCGTGTCTCCAGCCAAGCGGCGCTCACCTCCAGAGCGTGCGTGCGACTGCCCTTGCCCTGCTCCGAGCTGCTCCAGCCTCCAGCATCCTTCACCATCTGGCTAAAGGCACAAGCTCGGCTTGTTTCAGTTAGACCACAAACATCCTGCTTTTGTTTGTGGCTATCAAAGGCTGCCAGCACTGGTTTGGTACCAACTGATAAGCGTATGACAGCCCCTCAGGCGCACGGAGAGCCTAGGTGCTCTGCCTGCAGGGAGGAATGTCTCACTGGGAACAAGCTCAGCTGAGCCAACACTGGCAAACCTGGCATCTCTTCCAGCCGTGCCAGCAGCTCCCACACAGCACAGTCCAGGACAGCAAAGCATCTCCCTCCTGTATCTCACCCTTCTGCTAGCAGGAAAAGCTTTGAAATTGTTTCTTTGTAGGACTAACACGTACCAACCCCAGGCACAGCATCCAACACGCTATTGAAACCTCCTCCTCCGCGAGCCCGGGGACCCACAGCCCCCACGTGGAGCTTCCCCCAGCCCAGCACTGCCGAGCCCTTGCGTTTTCTTTGCCAGGCTTTCAGCTGTGGCAGTTGGCAGAAATCCCTCACATCACCACCACCTTGCCCACCACAACGCCGCAGCCACCTCCAAGGTGGAAGACAGCAGTTTGCATCTAAACGCAGTGTTTAGTCCGAGGCATCCGCCAGCGTCACCCAACCAAGTGCCTGCCGCCACTGCGAGCTCTGGGGACGGCGCAGGGGCGAGTGCCGCCCGACCTACCCTCTGTTTGAGCTCTCAGTAAACACAGCTCATAGGATGTCCTCTGATTTTTTAAACAAGCGTCTCCAAGGAGCCCAGCTGTAGCTTGCTGGTACGGTGCGAGCACCAGCAATGAAAATATCTGTCTGCAGTTGTGCGACCTCTTAAGCGGGGATTCGCTGGCCAGGAGGTTATTACTGACCAGAGCGGACAGTACAAGGAGGACCGATGGTCTGCGATGCTTTTTCATGCAAACCCATCCCCACGGTTAGGGGGGAAGGGGCAGCGGTTGCAGCCAGGCTGCAGCTGCTCCAGAGTTTCCCTCTCCGGGCATCCTGCGCCCTTCCAGCCCCACTCCCAGTAAAGATCCATGCTGGAAAGTCATCTAAACCCAAAGGTGGCAAAAATAAGTGGGGTCCTGAGGCTGAATGGAAAAGCAATCCCTCATCTGAGTGTGACCCGGACTGCCCTGAGCCTGCCCCAGCGGGCCCCTTTGCGGCGTGCGTCACGCCAGCAATTGCGCAGGAACATTTGTTTGGATTTTCAACAAAGGCATATGCTGACCATTTTAAGAAAGAAGAGGTAGGTTGGAGGCCAAAAATAAATCCATATAAACTTTTCTTTTCTAAATCTTGTCCCTTATTGCCTGGCACCCAGGGCAGCACCATGATTAAATGCCCGAGTTAAGCTCACCCTGTGCTTTCATTCCTGCCCTCGCTGAGCAGCCACCTTCATTTCCTTGTGCATTTGCATTCTGTGGCCAAATTCTGCTGTTTGTATTTGTTGTGATTTAACCCGGCTGGCAGCTGAACACCGCACAGCTGCTCGCTCATCCCCCCTGCTCTGTGGGATGGGGGAGAGAATTGGGAAAAAAAGTGAAACCTGTGGGCTGAGATAAAGACGGTTTAATAAAACAGCAGAGGAAGAGAATAATAAAAAAAAATGGTAAGAGAATGTACAGAATATACAAACCACTGATGCACAATGCAATTGCTCACCACCTGCCCACCAATGGATGCCCATCCCATCCTCGAGCAGTGATCGCTGCCCCCCGGCCAGCTCCCCCAGTTTCTATAGTGGGCATGACTCCATATGGTCTGGAATAGCCCTGGGGCCAGTTGGGGTCAGCCGCCCTGGCTGTGCCCCCTCCCAGCTCCTTGTGCCCCTGGCAGAGCAGGGGAAGCTGAAAAGTCCTTGCCTGGCGTAAGCCCTGCTCAGCACCAACTGAACCATCAGGGTGTTACCAACATTCTTCTCATCCTAAACCCAAAACACAGTGCTGTGCCAGCTGCTAGGAAGAAAATTAACTCTGTCCCAGTTGAAACCAGGACAGTATTGGATGATCATCAAATGCAAACAAACTTGGGTGATTTTACATTCCTCCCTCCCAATGCAGAATTACACCCTCCTGTAAAAATCGTTGCTTCTGGCTGCCCTCTTTGCAGCAGGCTGCTTTTTCCAAAGCAAAACATTTCTCAGAGGCAACACAAACTACCTAACAAATGTTTTTTTCAACTCCTATTTATAGTACTCCTCAAAGATGAAAGTCAGACACAGAGATGCCTTAGCCTCAGTACATGTACCTTCTTGATCTGAAGGGTGGATCACACAAACCAGACCAAGCTGCAGCCAAGGTGAGGCACAAAACCAAGTGACCAGAAGGAAGCCAAACCCACCTGGGCCACGTCTGCATGTTTGTCCTACGCTGGAGAAGCAGCAGATGGAAAACGGGACAAAGAAAGGGCAGACAGCAAAGACAGAGCCTGTAACATCTCAGCAGGAGGAAGTCTTGTTCCTTAGATCTTGACCATGCGTTAACCTACAGTCATATTTTAGATACACAACTCGTGTAAACATAGTCATAGTAAGTATACAGCTAGTCCCAAAACATTTAAAGGTGATAAATACCAACCTCATTTTCCAGAACCAGCTGCTTTCTTTCTGAGCTCTCTTGTCCCATTGAAAGTAACAGATTTGAGAAAGTTTGCTTTTATTTATGGCTTTAAATGCTGGCAGAACTGCTTCCAAAAAACGTTAAAGCGTGAACCATGCCCGCACAGCTCTGCCAGGGTGAGACAAGGTGCCTCCGGTCGCTTTGCACCAGGATTCCAGACTCCCTTGGCCTTTCATGAGTGATGTTTGTAACCCAGACCAACTTCATCAGATGCACTGAAAAAAGCAGCGGAATTGCTGGTGAGAGGAGGTGGGGGAAGAAACAAGCGGGAGACGTTATCCCGCGGGCAGGGGCTGCCTGCCTGGCTGGCCAGAACAGCCAGGGAGAGGGGCCGGGCAATTCCACCCTCTCCTAACTTCAGCTGGTGTCTAGTGGCACAAAGAACACTTGGCTGAAGCAAGATAAGGTCTAGTGACAAAATATTTGAGGGTAAAACCCCTTCAGCCATCACGGTTGACTCATTTCTACCACTCGCCACACCAGAGCCCTGTACCAAAGCACAGCACCTGTACCAGGGCACAGTACCAAAACCCACTGCCACCATCCATCGGGCTTCTGCCAAGGACAATGTTATGCACCAGGGAAGCTGCTGTGCCGGAAAAGATAGGTGAAGTATCTTTGACAAAATTAAAAAGCACCCTTTTATGCAAACCCACACCATTTAGTAGGAATGCATCGATTTAAATGAAGTTCTGACTTTGGGGGAAGGAGAGGCACCCGGATCAAACCCAAACCCCAACGCTCTCGATGCCAAGATGAATGTTTCAAAACAGTTTTATTTTATGGAGGTGTTCGTACAATCTCATTTTCGCTTTAGTCCCCACGTGTGTCTATAAATACACCCCGATTCTTAACCTGCAGGCCAGGACCACATCCAATATTAGAGAAATTGAGCAGAATTCAGCACTTCGACTGGAACACTTACAGACACGGTGCTGGTACAAGTTGTAGTTTTTATTTGTATGGAATGGACTGGGACAGACACTTACAAATTAGTAACTAACCTTTTCTAAATTAGCTTTATGCTGTTACATTGTTTAATGCACATTGAGAATGCTGGGTTTTAGGGCACATGATCACCAGCTGGGCAGTTGGGTTTAGGTTCGAGTGGCCAAAGCATCAGCAGCGGCGCCCAGCACCGGCACGGCCGCCAGCCTCCCCCCCCCGCTGACGCTTGGGCCGCCTGTGCTGAGAACAAGCAGCAGCATTACAGCACATCTCCCCTCAACCCCCCGCTCCTTGTGCTTATTGTATCCTTCCAGATCAATGATTAATTCCATTCAAACCTTTTTTCTCTTCCTTTTTGCTGTTGGCACTGTAAACCATCTATCATACACCTGAGCGCTGGAGATTAATAACCAGGAGTCACCTTGCTGCAGGCCACCCGACACACAGCAGCAGGAGAGGTTTTGATCCTCTTACAGTTTTGCTACCATAGGGCCAAAAAAAAAAAGCACTTTATAAAAATAAAACTTCAAAGCAACTCAAGGAGTCAGCTCTCCCCCGACCCCCTCTCCAAGCCAGGTTTTATTATGATGCTAATACGCACCCCGTCTGCACAACAGACTTCACTCAATCTCATCCTGAATATAAATTACAGCTACTTTGATTGTTTTTCCTTAAATGTGCTGATATCCATGCTCAATGATTTAATTTCATATAACTCTCATGCTTGGTTTTTTTTTTTCTGCAATTCTGAGATGAAAAGAAATAACCTCTTACCACATTTTAAAATCTGGATTTCTGCCAGTTTCCTTAAAGCAGCTACAATTTGTGCCAATTCAGTAATTTTTAATTACAAATTATTTTTCTGCTTAAACTACTTTTTAAAACACAGTTCAAATAGATACACAGAATCACAGAATCGCAAGAGTTGGAAGGGACCTCGGGAGATCATCTAGTCCAACCCCCCTGCTAAAGCAGGCTCTCCTAGAGCATTCTACACAGGACTACAATTACAGATTCTTCTTTTTCTATCCCAAGATCCATTCTTATTAAGAACCTAGAGCTCACACAGAGACATTTGCATTTCTTCCTGGTGTTCCAAAGTGCCTTACAGAAAACTTGCAATTAATTTAATCGTTAAACATGGCATGACATTGGGTCATGTATTTAGGTAATGATAAGTCTACTTTCCTCAAAATTAAAAAATAACAAGCAAAGTAAGTAACGCGTGAGGAAACAAACATGTTGTAGTAACAGATTAAGGATGTAGAAGACGATTCAAGCATGACCAAGGACGGAGTGCACCCATCCACTGTGCTCCCTTGTGCCGGGTACCGCGTGAGCAATTCAGCCCCACCACAATCTGGGCAGTAAAGCCTTTACCTCGCTCCGCATCATTGGAGGTTTTTGTGCTTGCATACGCTATAAATTGCTAATGGCCTCTAATGCTGGCCAGGTTATCTCACAGCAATGTAGCACCAGACTTGCTGGAGGCAGGGTGAACTTTAATTCAATAGAAACCCTGAAAACTACCTCCCCAAATTATGATCTGATTTATGAAGGGAGCACAAACAAAATAAATAAACACACCTTAATGAAAATGCAATCACTGACAAATGGTAATGACAAATGCAGTGACAAAACCAACGCAGGAGGGAAGCATAACAGGCAGCTGCTGCATTCAGTAGCGGTAACGTTCAGAGACAAGTGGGCTCAGCCAGCGTGGGATGGCTTTTATTCCGTGTCCAGAAGCAGGAGTCACCCTGTGGTTTTGGGGAAGATGAGAGCTTTAAGATCCGTGGCACTGGGCAACTGAAACAGCTGTGGTGATGCTTTCGAGGAGGCCTTTGTTATTTGTTATTTCTTACAAAGGACAGAGTGAAAAATTGCAGTCTCCGCAAAGGTTTCACCCCCACCCCACAACATTTTTTTCAGTCTGTGATCTCCACTGAGGCATGGTACAAAAAACACGCTCCCAAAGAGCTGCCATGAGAGGAAAGCCAGGCCAGTGGCAATCGTTTTGATCCTGCTGACC